CTTAAAACTACATTTCAAAATATTTCGAAAACGCTCTCATAGAATTTGTTCAAACTTTGCCATAATGGAGGCAATTATAGCAGGTACATACTCCCTAAAGCGATTTCTTCAAAAAACTCCTGGAACAGAGAAACACAAAGATAAATGAAAAACGTAATGGCGTCATTACGTTGCCATGGCGACTCCGATTGCAATAAAACCCAGATCATAACAAATTTTCATCTTTATATAATACAGTTGTGGTAACATTTTTTCCATATCTTTACTCATGCCGACGTAGTTAATGCTCAAAGTTGGGAGGTATCAACCCCAAAAAATCCAGTCGAGCCACCTTAATTTCGCAAAATGTAGCTTTTGTCGGCTAGAGGAAACCTACGGCAGTTTTACTGCTACTTTTGTCACAATTTGGCAAATACCACTGCCACCACTGCATGCATCGGGTTTGAATTATCAACAGCATCCTCTTTTTCTTGGGGCGGGGGTTAGGGGAAGGGGCGAGGAGGGTTCTCCCATCAAATACCTATATGGGCAAATGCTACTCAATGGGGCAATGATGTAAGGACTCCTGATCTATAATGCAGGGGTAAAATACCTCGAATAGACTCGGATAACAATCTTTCAGGATTCAGTCGCTAATTCGCCTTCCTACCAATCTGTATTCAACTGTGAAAAAGGGCTGAAACATTCTCATTCCCAGAGCCACTCGGCTTAATTTGAACGAACACGTGACCAAAAAACGACGCACTCTGGGAACGAGAATGAGCGGTGAGAGACAAAAATCCGTTATGAGCATGAGCAGTGATATTTGTAACTTCTGCACATGCGTGACCGGATGTCAGAAATTTTCTGACATCCGGTAACGGCTGCTTCCAGATCCCCTCGTTTCAAGACCACGTGACCAAGAAACGAAGAACTCTGGGGGCGAGAATGGGACTGAAAAGACTGAAAAAGAGCTGCTCACAGTCTATCAACTTCGTCCAACAACAAGAACTTTATTTATCCAAGGTTAAAAATCATCAGGCAAAGTGAACTACTTAAAAAATTAACCTATATAACTAATTCAAAACTTCAACTAACTAAACGTACCTGCTTTACATGATTACCGTGATTAAAGAAATATTTCAAAAGAGATCACTGCAGCCGTGTTTAAAAGAAGAGTTCTCGCTTGCCGCAGCTCAGCAGGTAAACTATTCCACGGCACCGAACCTCTTTAGCTAAAACTGTTTTTAATATACACTGTAATTGGTGCGGGGCAGTGGACTAGATAGCTTGCCCTCAGAATCCATGAGGGAATAACTAGAGACTTCGAATTCGTTGTGATAGGAAAACAAAGATTTCAAATATTCGGGCAAGGCCATTTAGCGACTTATAAACCTAGCCGCAGTTTGAATTTTCCGTTGAGTCTCCAGCGTTTTCCAGCCTTGGCGTTTATAGTACAGTATTTTGTGCCTCCAACGCGATGCAACAGTGAAAAGCCAGTGGCTCAATTACTTACTTCATTCATTTTCTGACAATTGCACATAATTTACGAGAGATCGATGCTTATTCGCGCACCTATCGGCTCCTGCGTGCGTCCAAATTAAAGGTTGCTTTGTGTAGAATATCGACAAATTCTCTTACATTTGAGTTAGCAAAACAGTTGAGGTATATCGTCAAACAGTGATGTCAGTGACATTTTGGGCCATCAGCAATGGAAAGCACAGTAGACATCGAGGTAGCATTTGTTGAGGTTTATTTTCAATCCTTGGTTCAATTCAATTTTTGGAGCCAAGGGTGAAACCGAACCAGAACATAAACCAGCTGAAATCGAAATAATGAAGAAAATATCAGCTTGCATTGTGGCAAGAGAGGATAAAACTGTGGCAAAACACCAATTCCATCCTTATCTCTGTTCGTGTTGAAATAAGGTAAAATTCGTTCTTTCACTACACTCTTTTTTTTCTATAAGAATATATTTTATAAGAATATCGAGGCTGAAATTTGCGAAATTTTAAGAATATTTTAAGAATAAACCCCAGGCTGAGGTTTTGAAAAGGATGTAATTTTGTGTGTTCAAAAACTGTAATTACCACACAATTATGTTTTCAACTTATTCCATCCTCTGAACGGCAAAACTTGCCAACAAGGCGCAAAAACCTGCACTAACTATACTTCATACCCCAATATATTCTAAAACGGAAATGTCATAAGCTATAATTTAAGAATAATACAAGAATATTTTCAGCCTAAAATCGGCAGAAAAATAAGAATATTCAGCCTGGGCCGGAAAAACAACATTCTTATATATATATAAAAAAAAAAGAGTGTATGGGATTTCCAATTCCAGTATCTCGGAAGATTAATTTTCAAATAATTTTTCCGTACTACATTGCTGTTTACAGACATATTCGGCATTGGAATAAAGTTACATATAAACAAAAACGTAAAGCTCGTCCTAATCAGTCCCTACGTACACTTGGCATGGGAAAAGTGATGAGTCTCGCGAGGGCAGAAGAGAAAGGAGAAAGCCTAAGGACGAAGCAGCACACGTGATGCAATGCACATGCGTTGTCATCAAATTTGTCCCTCTGGGACTGGAATCGTTCGGTTTGCTGGAGAAAAGATATTTAACAATTATTCCTTGAGCCCCGAATGGGCTCTGAGTCAATAGCCCGTGAGGCCGAAGGCCGAATGGGCTATTGAATCAGAGGCCATGAGGGCGAGAGGAATAATTGTTTTAGTAAAATCCAGCTAGCTGGTAAAAAATATCGAGAAAAAACAACTTTAGCTAGTTAAAGCTAGGCTTTAACCCTTTTTTGCCGCCAAAAAGCCCGCGCTTTTCGCTACTAGTGGGCTATAACATATAGCCTAGTAGTAGCTCAACCAATCAGAACGCAGCATTGATGATAGACCAATAGTTGGATTTTACTAAATATATATATGTATATATATATATGTATTTACAAATAAGCTGTAAATCGCCACTGCAAGATTCTATCGTTGTTGTTTTCGTTTGCATTCTCGTCAACTCCATATTTTGTGCCATATCTGTCGGTGACTTGACTCGTTGGTTTTCTGTAAGGCGGTGGTGGTCTGTTTAGCTCTCGCCCAGTCCTCATGAAGAAAGCACGACGAGATGGCGGGATTCTTGTAGGTTCTTCTCCTACCGACATGTTTTCCTGAAGAGTGTTTTACGAAAACAAGTTAATCTAGAGGAACACTAAGTGATGTGTTTACCGTAAATGATCGATTAAGCGCCGCTACTCGAATAAGCACTGCTCTCGAATTAGCACCGCTCATTTACCGAAAATAATTAATAAGCGACGCGAGGCTAATTTGGGTATTCACAAATAAACGCCCCACCTTTGTTTCACAAAGAGACTGAGAAACTGTGTTCATGTTACCTCTAATATTTGAGCAGCAATACTTTCACTGAGACCGAGAAACTGTGTTCATGATACCTCTTGTATTTCATTCGAAATCATTTTATATTAAATTGTGCATACCTAGTAGGCGCCTCAAGTAATTCTCTCTTTTTTGCCCCCAGTGTTTTACCAGTAGATGAACTAAGCGCCGTTCTCGAATAAGCGCCGCACCTTTAATAGGGAAAATGAAATTAGTGCCGCGGCGCTCAATCGATCATTTACGGTATAGTAACTTCGCAGGAGCTCTCTCTTTAGTTGCCGTCGTCGAGGTTCTGATTTAACACTACGAAAACGATAGCACTTACAAACATTTCTTCAAAAATTTGAAACAATAATTCGGCTTCAATTTGTCAATTTTAGCCGATATTTTCCTTTTAACTGACTTCAGAAAGAGAAGAGGCGTCGTCTTAATTAATTGAGAGTAGTCCCCTACAAAACATGAAATATTAGGAAGTTTCCTGTCGTAGCCAAGCAGTGACGGCAAAGACATTTGTAGTAGAAAAGATTGTGATGCCCTTTTAAACCTATTGCTTTTTGACTTTTCCGTTGTCGTCAGAGTCGTGCTTTAGCCTCCTTTTATCATCGTGGAAGTATAGCCATACGGTGATACCGAGCAATACTGTGTAGTTTGGTAGCTTGGGCTTCTTGCTGATTCAGAGGTTGGTCTAATTTAAACCAGTTAAAGCTATTTGGCTACATTTTCACCCTTGAGGTTAAAATTTTTGTCTAGTACTTTACACTAGTTAAAATTTCTGGCGCCCTTGGGAGGGTTAGGTACTGCATTTCCGAATTTCTGAATTTGTGGTTTGTTTTTCTTCTCTGGTCTCTAGTAGTCTCTACTCACATTTGTTTGTATATCAACTTGCCACCTATCCACGTATTTCGTCTTTTTGCGACGCTTTTCTGCTCGATACAGCAACAGTAATATTGAGACAACTAGGAAGGCGGTAAGGGCAAGCCCAAGGATAATAGCAATGATATCCACTCGTGTCAGTCCTTTCTGTGGTGTGGCTGTTTCCTCTTGTACTGGTGTTACATCTAAAAATTGAAACTAACGTTGATCAAGTTATGACCAGAATAGACCTTATTATTCTTGATGCCCACCATCTTTGCAGGCGCTTCAGTATGGATGGGAAAAGAGCAATTTCACGTGGTTTCTCAGAGGGCAAACATGTATTAAAATTTGCCAATAGGAGTAATCACGGTCAAGTTTTGCTTTTATCCCCTCAGTTCTTTAAGCGCGTTCAAAGATGGCGGGTATGGTGAATAATAGGTTCTACCGTGGAACCCCGTTAATACGGTCACCAATGGGCCAAACAAATTTGGCCGTATTAAGAGGTGACCGTATTAACGAGGGTTTTTTTTACAGTATGGCCGTTTTGCCAGGCAGCCAAAAAAAGTAGCCGTAATAACGAGGTGCCCGTGAGGCGGGGTTTCACTGTATTTAAATGTACACTTACGATATTCATGCTTTTTATGATGGACATCACCAGGTTTCCTCATGGCCCTAACCCTAAAGAGAAATGGCGTTGTATGGAATTACACTTTATTACGTCTAATATGAAGTTCTGCATGTGCGAGTTATATGCATTTCTGGACACAAGTGACTCAGTGGAGACCTGTGAGTAACGCCGACCTAGTAGTCCCTTTCGTAAACGGTCGCTACCATTTTTATAACACTTTTTATAAGGCTTGGTTACCAATGGGCAACTAAATTAATTGGGAAATAGGCAGCGCCGTCCCGTATCCTGCCACATAAACAAATTAAAACAAAAATAATAATTCATTAATATGCGCCTATGTTATCTGCTAGCCTAAAATGAAACGACTTTGTTACCTTGGTATAGTCACATATTACCATATTAGTTGATATTTTCCCCACCTAACAAAATAATATAACCTTTCATTTCTCACCGCTAGAGTCTTCTACCCCGCCGTTGCTTACCTTTCGTCTGTTTACTCAAAATTCCCTTCCTTAGACCGGCCATTCTGATGAATTCCCTTTATAGTCCGACTTATTCAGAATTTGGCAGAACAAATTGCATTTCAGGGATTCCTTTCAAGGTTCTTATATAGCCTATAATATAACACTGAGGAAACTGAAGCCATATCCAATAACTTAGGAAGGTCGATCGTTTTTTAGCAATTAGAGTGGTCTCCCCAATATTGAGCATGCATTACACTACCTTACCGAATCGTTAACCCCGGTTACGAGTAATTCATTATCGTTAATCCCAGTTACAAGTAGTTCAGTATCATAATCCGGTCAAGTTGTGTGAAGAGACGCGTGTGTCCTTGAAAGAGAACAGTGCTCAAATCTTTTGGGGTTACTGTTTTCACTTCTTACCTTTCATGACAGTGAGCCTTACTCTTCTCAATACCACAGACGAGTTAGCTGTACAAACGTACAAGCCACTGCCATTTCTCTCAAGATTAGACAACACTAGCATGGACTGATTAAAAGAGGTAATGTTAACAAGCACATCTTCGCCGTCTTTGCTCCAGGACAATACGGTACTGGAAGAGTGGTTTCGGTCTCCACAAGTAAGGCTGACATTGCCTCCTTCCTCTATTGTCTGACTTTCTGTATCTGAAAAAACATGAACATTCATACAACACTGACGTGGACTGACGGAAACTAGAATTATAACATAACAAAACTAAATCGCGCGCTCTGATTGGTCAGTCAGCCACTACCATTTTCCCGTGGGTGCACGCTAAGAAACTGAGCTAGCGCGGTAAAATTTAGGCAAATTCAACAAATCTCCTCTCCTGACGGTAAAATACACCGATGAAATGCACAGATGAAAAGTGGAAGTTGAAGAAAATACTAAGCTGTCGTTTTGAAGGAAAAAAGACAAAAGATCAAGCGACAAATTTGCCCTGGATGAATGAATCACTGTTTTCCTCGCGGCTAAAATCTGCTGAAGGAAAATCGAGCGAGCGAAGATTTAAGGTACATTTTGTGTGTTTTTTATAGAAGAGAAAGTCTGTTTGGAAAGGAAAATTATCAATTAGCATTGTGTTATTGACTTTTTGGTCAAGCTGATGCTAAATTCAAGCAAATATTTTAGGAAACACGCTCAAATTCGAGACAGCTTTGTTGTGAAGTTTTCATCGCATCGATTAAAAATTTTAGTTGAGTTTAAACGGGCACATAACGCTGGAATAAGCGAATTTCATTTGAGTACAGAAACATTTGGGTTTTCAAATAAATTTTTCAAAAAATAACTTCTGTGTGTATTATTTTGTTCCTCAGTGTTCATTCATAACAGTCGTTCGGAGAACGGTCGAAAAACAACAGCTTCAGCGCCGGCTGTGTGTCGGCGAATTTCAGTTTCAACTTTCACTTTCATAGCTGGATTTCCCCAGACAGATTTCGATACAAAGCTAGTTAATTTCTTTTTAAAATTAGTGTTACCTGTTATTCTAAAGGAATTACAGTCAAATTTTCTCATTTCTACTTTGCGTTTATTTCAAAAATTGTCACATAAATAAGCTTGATAATTATTTCATTTATTTAGTTTTAGCTTATTTTTTAGAGTCCTTTTAGTTGGTGTTTATAGTTGCAGCTATAGTTTTCCCTCAAAGTTTTTACCCTAATATTAAGAGCAAGTAGACAGATGCCATTCAGAATAACAACGAAAAACGTTTTGCAATTTACCTGAGGACGGAGAACGGTTGATTCAGCGAAAGAAAAACTCAAAGGCAAGTTTTTGAAAAACATAGAACATGATTTGTTTACGCGCGGGCAGATGTCACCATACATGAACTCGGACCGATGACTCAACCGAAGGCAAATGGAAAATAATGTTTTTCTCTTTTGATTATGTTATGAAAGAAATGGTAAACGTTGCAGCTGTGCAACCATGGAGTTATGGATGCACTTGGGAGGTTTGCTAAGCACTCAAGAAGCTAGAGTCGCATTCGGCTATCGCCTCGTACGACTCTTACGCTTCTTTCGTGCTTAGCAACCTCCCGTGTGCATCCATAACTCCATGGTTGCACGCTGCACGTTTACCATTTCTTAAGTTTCATCTTTGAAAGACGGTTCTCTAGAAAGTTATGAAACGTTTTGAGGAAAAGAGGTTTTTTTCCCCTAGGTATGCTCCTGTTAAAGCTTGTTAATTGGCGCTGTGCCATATAACTCAAAAGTTAAGAGGCCATTCTGCGTTATTTATTTAGCCTTACATGCTCTTGTCGCAAATCCCATGGACTCAGTTAAATCAAATTAGGAGGATGACCGGTCCCATTTTTACCCACGCGACTTTTAGTTTATCATGATGCCTCATCTCAATTGAACGTTTGGCACGTATGGGTACCTGCGGAAATCAATTTCCATCATTTCGTCGATTTTTCAGATGACGTCGTCGCATATCAAGAATAAATTTTTTTGGTTGGTAACCCAACTAGGCAACTCAGCGCAACCAAGACAATAACGGAAACGAGAGAAATGAGCAACTTGATTAAAATGGGTATGAGATCATCGCTTTAACCACTAAGATCGTGGCTTCATCATAAACGATCGTCGCAACTTCGATTTCATCGGAAATACCCAATATATACTTAGGCTCTCACTTCACCTCCGAAATCGAAAAGGCGTTTAACTTTGTTGCCCTAAAGTATTGCAGAAAACAAACAACAATCATCATCAACAATGTAAACATATCCAATCATTGCTATGTGTGCATGTTTATCACCATCATCATATGTTTTTCTCAGCATTTGCGCATGATAATAAACGTGATGCTGATATTTTTCGAACTACAATAGTGGTCCTACTCAGAGGCGTGAAAGCGGAATTACTTTTGTACTTCTGGAAATTTTCTTTCCCTACCATTGAAGTGCTACTACAAAACTGCAACCACAGGTGTTAAAAAAAAAAACAACAAAATTGCACAGCTCAAAAGTCGCAAATTTCAAATGACTGACACCACACCCATGGACCCCGCCCTTCTAGTACAAGGATGATATCAAAACAGTTTATAATATCATTATTAATGAAGCTCTTTGATAGCAATCCTCCCTTATCGAATCATCAAATTTATTATGAACTTTCCATCCTTTATGTGAAATCTTAAACGGTGGATAGTTTAGCTCCATGCCTATTATGCCGAAGCTTTCATAGTCCAACAATTGTCCAACAATGTTCTCTAAAAGCGTTTCAAAAAAAGTTTATACAAGAGATAGTTTATGCCATCCGCAAAACAATACGAGCTCAATACTAGTTGAGGTATCGCAATGCCTTTTTGGCTGTTACCAAAATAACGATGAATTAAACGATGACAGTCAACACGTTAAAGTACATAAAATTGTTATTTAAACAACAAATCTATAGCTAAAAGTTTTGACTTACCAGTTATTGCCGATGCGGGGCCTTGAGGCAAAGTAAAACACGCTATTCTTAACCAAAATAGATTCAACATTCTAAACTGCCATACTGAATACGAAATCATTTGGCACACATGTACAATTGCTGAGACTTTTTTTCATTCATATAATTTCTGTTATATTCTTTTCAGTTAAAGATTGTTTTTTGTTTTTCAGTTTCACGTCGGTCGACCAAGGAAGTATTTATTCCAAACTTCTCATGACAGCTGCCGTGAATAGAAGGAAATGATGTTCACCGTCTTCTGTCTGAGGTTTAAGGCATTACACTCTTGAACTATATTCGATGAGCCATTTCCAAGGGCAATTTAGTACACTTCGGCGTCTTCTGATCAAAACCGGACTTAATGGGCGTAAGAAAATTAAACTCCAACAAGCGCGCTCACGTTAGTAAAACTCGGAAGTTAAATCACTGCACTTTGTACGGTAACATGAACGAGCAGAGTAATGTAGACGTAAAATAAAATGCAAAGCGCACGACGAAATAGAAAGACAAATTTAGAATGGCTATAATATCAAAGATTACGACTGACAAATATTCCTCAAGAACAATATTGAGATTGGCTAAAATTAATGGGCGTCGTTTAAGACAAAGATCGGAAGCAAATGAGACACTGGCTACTTCTGCTATCTGACGGGCATGGGATTCTATCTCGCTATCTCGCCACAAGAACGAGGGCCTTGCTGATTTGATCCATTCAGTTCGGTTTGGTTCCGGGTTGGGAATTTCTTTCGATTTCGTCCGACGTGTGAGAGGGAATGCAGTCCTCTTTTCATTGGACTATTAACCTGATTCGTCCCCTCCTTTTTCATGATCAAAATACCGGCTTCAAAGAATATAACTTCACAGCAGAGTTCAAAAGGAGTCAAATTATTGTCTTAGTTTATTGTTCAATAAATTTCATCCGTTTAAACTGAAGTCGTTGCGACTTTTGCTCTGGGTCGAACCCACAGGAGACGTTGTCATTCAAAAGACCGCACGATTCTGTTTAATATTTTGTCTTTATCAGTTTTGGTATTTCCTTACGAAGCCACCGAAGGGAGTTTAAAAATTTATAATCTAACATTGAGAAGAAATTTAAAGTCACTGGTTGTACTCAGTCCACCCTTAAATTCACCTACACCATACTAATATTCAAACCAAATAGTTACCTGGGAAGAAAGGGGATATGAAAAAGGGCAAGAATAATTCGTCCGAACGATTCTTTTAAACACGCATGGATTGATACCATTATCTCTCAAACTATAGCAGATAATGAAGTGATTTTGAAGTTTTAATATTGCTTTTTCCTCTAAATAAATGTTTGAAATCCCTTACTCTTCGGATTAGTGAACGAGCGAGTGACCGTAAATGAACTAATAGATTCCAGGGGCGATTATTTAATTCTAGTGGCCCAGAGGGGGTGTTCAAAGATAGGAGACGTTTAAAAGAGAGATCGAGGTGTTTTAGTTGTTCCTTTATTTTTGTAATAATCTTTACAAAACGCAATATGCTATCGGCGAAAATATCAAAAAATGTTTATAAAAAGCGAAACTGTATATCCACTCCATCAATTGATACGTCGAACGGGCCGTCTAGAGGTTCATATTGCTCTTTATTATTAAATTTGGCAACTTTGATATCAGAATCGTCGTTCAGGAATTTGATGTCATTGTCAATTATCAGGGTTAATCTATCCTTACTTTGAACTTGACATTGAATGAGATGTAATGAGCAAACCCTAGTTAATCGATCAAGCAAGAAACCGAATGAATTGAATGATTTTGCTCCTTTTTTGCTAATTCCTAGTATTTTGGAGCAACTGTTACGGGGGCTTCTATTATACAGGCGGCGTTTATATCATAGAGGGGGCGTGGTTATTTGAGAGGCGGCCTTAATCAGATCTTAACGGAAAGGCGTTTTTGAAGTCATAAATTGTGACATCTACTACTTCTACTCTAACTGCTTATCCTATTGGACCTTGCATCCTTGACGTAGTAGCAGCTGCACGCACAAACAGGAATTTACTTTCTTTGTTACTGTTTATTTATTCAAGGGGATCAGTTGAAGGCCAGTTCTTTTATGAGAATAGAATACGTTCTATTCTGTAGCGGTATGTACATTGGCCAACAGTTTGATCAAAGTATTAAAGAATGTATTGATAGTGTAAATCGAAAATTAGGGACTTTCAGCAGTCTATTGCAAGAAAATAATGCACTTGTCACCACGCATGTGACCGCATGTATGCTGCTGTAAAAATTAAAAAGGTTTCCTGTACTGAAAAGTTTACGTTCTTAATAGAACTGTAACCTTGTTATACTGTTTCTCAGTTTTCTAGAAACACCGTCACTCGTTTCACTGAAAACCGACTCCATTTATTTGTTTTATTGACGCTGACCATATTTCCCATTTTTCAATATTCCATTCCCAATTCCTATTCCTGTTTTTACAGTAACAAAGGGAGCTCGTCACCTTCGGATAGGACGCAGCTCTCAAGAATTTGTAATTTCATAAGAACTTGATAGTACTCAGCTCTATTGTTTCAGGGCTAGGATTCATTTTTTAAGTGGTTTGTTTACTGTCTTCTCACCCAATCCTGTGAGTTGTTCCAAGAGCTGGGTGGCGCGTGAACTTGGTCACTGTGGAGTATTATATTCCAACAGATTAAGTTTGCGTATCTAGCCTACCTCTGCAGTCCTTGTTAGGTGTTAAAGTAGAGCGAAAAGGAGGTGTCGAATTGGCGAGGAAGATAGTAGTACCAGCTACAGAGACAGGGTAAGTCTGTATCCTCCACAAAACTCTTTCAAATAATGTCAAATCCAAAAGGACATTAGACGACAAGCAGGGAATAAGTTGCGCTTTGAGAAATTCTGGAACTCTTATTGTTGCTCAGTCTGTTCTGCCGAGAACCGTTCAGATTTTTGACTGAATGTACGTCATCTTTTTAAATGTACAGTATGAACAGCTTTGTAGCCTAAGACTAAGGATTTTTTTCCTAAATTACCGGTAATGTCTTGGCGGTGACCAACTTCTTCCGAGAAACGCGGAAGTAATGGTAGTCTTTACATTACGGCCAAAATGACGACGGATTATAGGGCCATTTTTCCTCAAGGTACCCTAAAGTATCGATTTGCTTCCGCACCGTCTCGTCTCTCCACGAGTTATTTAAACCCTAAGGAACCAGTATATTTTACTTCAAGAAAAAGACTATTGCATTCAGATTACAGCAAGTGATTTTCAAAAGTACTTTCTTTGCTAAATCGAGTTCGCCTACAGTTTGACATGATGCAATAAACAAGACAGATATCGCGTCGAATACCTTATAACACCAAAAAAATAATTGACTGGGAATTTGATCAGTTGTCTGGTTTGTGTCCTCACATTTAAGTTTTTGGAGGTCTTTAAACACCACTTTTGAGAATAATATGCGAACTCTGAAGTTCAAAACCAAACCAACGGTTTCGTTTTTTACAGCCGTCAATCATTGTCACAGATCGGACCTCTCAGAAATCAAGAATGTTGTGCTTCTACGGGGTGCAAATTAAGTCTATTCATGCGCTGTGATTGGTGGAATTCAACCCTTTCAACCCTTTTGACCACCGGCTCAAAGTTCATGCGTGATTTTATGAACGATTTTCTGAGAGCAGATAAGAACTGACAATGTTAAAAGACTCTGTGGTTTTCACGCAAAACACTCCAAACACTGAACAGTATTTTCTCGGGAAAGAGTGAACATGCATTAATATATAGATTTAGCCAGGGCTAAAAGCGAGGCTCCCATTAGTATATTTATAATTTAAATCAAACAATAAACTTGTATTCCACAATTCAGTTAACTTTAGAGCACATAGCACATTCATGTGACTTTTGAGGGAAAGGCTAAGTGATTTTAAAGAAAAATAATTTGCATACAGCCCAAGATTGAACAAACTCTTACATCGAGTTGATAACCTCATATGTGCAACCAAAAAATAGCAATAATCTTCGATCACATTTAAGAGCCATAATGGCTCTTGATCACCGTAAGATTAATTAGGCCTGGAACAAAAATCGGGTCGAATTTTTTTGCGTTCGACAAGTTTACTTTACAAAATCTTGCCAACAAATCTGGCTGCGTGTAAACCAACCTTTTATACCATTTATACATCACATCTGAGGTGAAACAGTACTATGACGTAATGTTTTTATCATACAGACCTCGGACAGAATGCAGTATTTCACAATTTTGCAACACAAATTGCACTCATTCAATATTCAGGACAATCGAACCACGCGTGGGCTTTTACCTAAACCGTTAAAAAAAATTCCAAAATCACATATACGGCCAGCCGGTTCTCACTTTTGCAGTGCGAGTTGTAGCGAATGTTTGAACGAACATACTAGAGTTAAGCTCCAACATAATAAAGAAATTATGATGTTAATTTTTTATTTAATGGCTTTATTGATGTGTAATCTTTAAAAGCGTTTGATACGCGCGGCATTTTGAGTACTTCTGCAAGCGATTGAACGAGGGACTGAAAACAAACGGCACAGCGATTAAAATTACAAGAGAGACTACCAACAATCAATAAAATAAATATAATTCGGCGAAACATATACAGAGACAACATTTTTCATTCACGAAGACAAGTATTAAAAATCTAAAAATCTAAAAAAAAATCTAAAAATCCTGAGTCTTCAAGCTTTAATGAAGCTTAAGTTTATGTTTTAAGCCGGCTTCCCGGTATTTACTTTTTTCAAAGATGAACTCGAGGAAAGAAAATCGCTCAAAGCTTTCTTTTACAGCCAGAATTATAACTAAATGTTCTTTGGAACGTTTTCTTTCTATTTGCGGTGAGAAAATGTCTAAAAACTTTTTAAAGTTGTAAAAGCTTATATCAAACCTGATTCTTGGTCAGATCAAATTGTCTCAAATCCTACAAACGTGCATAAACTACATAGCCGCATAAACTACGCTCGACTTCATTAAATTAGATATAAAAAACAAACATCAAACACAATAATTACTGAGGCTTACCATTCGAGATGCAGCTCCTAAAGGGAACCAAGTAAGGCCAATATCGTTTCAGACCTTTACGCATCAAGCAA